CCTGTGTGGGCGGGGCCAGGGAGGTGGTGCAGCAGGCTCAGGTGCCTGTGTGGGCGGGGCCAGTAAGAGCTGCAGCAGGCCCAGGTTTCTGTGTGGGTGGGGCCAGTAGGAGGTGCAGCAGGCTCAGGTGCCTGTGTGGGCGGGGACAGTAGGAGGTGCAGCAGGCCCAGGTCTCTGTGTGGGCGGGGTCATGGGCAGGGCCAGGGAGGAGGTGCAGCAGAATGGTTCACGTCCAGACTCTGGATCAGGCTGTCTGAATCTTTATCTTAGCCCCATTCCCCAGTCTACATGAGTTCCCCCTGACAACCTGCTTGTTGAGCTGTGCTGTGGGGGTAGTTGGTGGAAGAATTAATATGAGAATGCTTACAGAAGGCTCAGCAGGGCACACCAGCACACAGCAAGTGCTCAACACGTGTTTGTTATGATTAAAGCTTGATTGGGGGTGGGGTGAGAGGGAGAGCCCCTGACTCCTCACTTCTGTGGAAGTTTAATTTGAGCTTCTTTCAGATTCAGTTTCTTCCTCTTTAGATGTTGGTGTTTAGAGGCCAGGTTCATGTTCTGTTTTTTTCTTGTGTGCAGCATTCTATACAATTGCTTTTGTTTCTTGAAATGAATCAGTCTCAGACTGACTTAAAAACAATGGAAGACTTATATTGGGAAGGAAGTAATTTGCTGTTATTAGAACACTGGTTATTGTTATTATGTTTTCTTGATCACAGACTGCTCACTGTATTGCTAGTGAGCCTCCAAGCTAAGGAGCCTTGAAAGGAGTTCTGGTAGGGAGTTGTCCTACTAACCCAAAGGCCACGCCTTTTTGAAGCTTTGAATCCAGCACAAAGACTCCTTAGGGGGGAAAGATGACTCATTTCCTCCTGTGTGATTTATAGCCTCAGAAACCCAGTGGAGAGTCAGCTGGGATTTGGTGCTAACTTGACTGAAAGGAATTTGAGCTTCTTGAAGGATTCTTGCGCGATACACATGGTTAAATTCTTGACTGTTAACTAGTGATTGGTGATTTGAACTCAGCCAGAGTTTTTGTGAAGGCCTTTTTAGCGATCATTTAAAATTGTACACTCTGTTGCAGAGTTGTAGTTAACAATGGATGGAGTGAATGACTCTTAAGAAACAGGACAAACTTAACTAATTGATGTGGCAAAGCCAACTCCATGTAAAACTGGCTCAGATTTTGAAAGAATCAGTGGTTGGGCCTCAGAGGTTGAAATGGCAGCTTGAACATGTGGCCTGTGCTTCTCCTGCATCTATTTCCCTGTGTGCTTTTGTTGAAATTGTCAAGATTCTCCTCTCCTGTGGTATTGTATCCAGTCACAGTGAGCAACAGCTCATCTTTCCCTTCTGGCTGAACTGCTGATCTTCTCACTGACTTACTTCCTTACTGTGGAATTGAGCTTTGAGGCCTTGAATTGTTAGAATTCCATGAACTGGCAGGAAAATGATGAGAGATAGTGAATGATATTACCTGGCAGAGAGCCATCTACTTGGACTCTTTAGACCTGCCTTTTGCCCCTTGGTTGCACCATTGTCCAGATGACCTTGGCCAGAGCCTACAGGCTTCTTTGAACATCTTTGTCCTGCTACTTATGTCTGGGGGCCTCTAAGCTCTTTCCAGGGATGGCTCTATGGCTCCACCCACCAAGTATACATCAATGGATGAAGCCATGGAGTGCTATAATGTATTTCTGAAATGGGCTTTTCTTGTAACCAAAGTAGATGTGTTAGTCATCTTGGACTGCCTGGTGTATTTCCCGGAACACAGCTTGAATGAGACTCTTCCCTCTGTTTGTCCCTTCGACTTTGTCCCTTTGTAAAACTTATATTTACATATCGTGTCTATTTCAGTACTCTGAAGCTTAGGGTCTCTGGGGAATAGTGAGGAAGTCATCGGATAGACACTTTCAAACCTTTGTTTATAATCAAGTAGTTCAACAGCAGAGACCTCAGAGGTCCCGCATCCACTGTGAGATCACCAGGCTTGGAGTTCCCAGGGAGCCGTATAACTGAATTGTCTGGCTAATGGACTCGGAGAACCACTGTTCAGACCTTTCTCCCTCTCTCTTTCCACTTGCAGCACTTTTTATGAAGACTGGTCATTTGTTATGGACGAAGAGCGGTCTAGCATGCTCCCTACCATGGCAGCTGGTAAGCCTGGCCAGAGCCAGGAGAGACGGGGGCCCTGGGAGGTGGAATGAGCAGAGGAGCATGCTGGGAATTAGAACTAGGAGTGACGGGGGCCCTGGGAAGTGGAATGAGCAGAGGAGCAGGCTGGGAATTAGAACTGAGAGGGATGCATTCAGTTTCACTGTCTCTCACTAGTGTTCTTCCTTTATGGCATTGAACTCTATTCAGCTTTCATTATCTGCTGTTCGATAACCTGGCAGAGCGAGTCTGGAGCTGAGAGATTCCACTTGTAAATTTGCAGGAGTAATATAAAGGACTAGAGATGGGAGGCCTGCCCTTGACTCTTGACTTTCCTCTTTACTGAGTGACCTTGGACAGATCACCTAAGCTCTGTCAGCATTTCTATCCTCTGCTAGGTGGGGATTCTGGTATTGCAGCAAACACTTCTAAAGGGCTTGAGAGTGTACCATATGTGATAAAGAATCATGCACATTATTTATACATGTAATAAATTGGTGTTACCTTGTGTATTTTACATTGTTCATCATTTGACTCTCACCCAAACTGAGAGAGGTGGGAATAAGCCCACAAGATTGGGCCACTTGCCTCTTTCTTCCAAATACTCTCTTTCCTTTCTCTCCATTTTTTTCTACCTGGAATGTTATGGTAAGTCCCCTAACTCCTGTAGCCTTTTGTCCACTGATGAGGAAAAAGTCACGGTTTGACCATCATTTCTTCTGTAAGCCATTGGAGGTCTGTGCTGGTTTTCCTAAAACTTAGCAGCTGCTTCTGCTGCATACATTTTGATCGCTTATTGAACTGCTAGGTTTTTGCTGAGCTATGGTCTTTTATACTTAAAACTCTGTGAGAAAGATTCTATTGTCTCCATTTTATAGGTAAAGAAACTAAAGTTCAGAGAGCTTGTAAGTCTCTTGACCTAGCTTTCTTAGGAAGTTCTGGTAGTCCACCCCAGATAGTCTGACCCAGAACTTCTGCTCATTGACACTGTAGGATAGAGTGAATCCTTCCACTTATATCTGGAAAGCTTTGACCTTATGATAGCCATGTCAAATGACCACAGTTTTATGGGAGTTGATTTTAAAAAAGTATATAATAATGTGGTTTTGGTTTATGTAGCACCTTAGTTTCCCATTCAACAGTTTTTACACAAATTGTTCACTGCCATTAGTTCTGTTCTTCACTATCATGCATGAATTACTTAGTTACATTTACATTCTAGTTGTTCTGTTTCCATTACTCTAGTTTCCCTGCCCCTTTACCTTCTCATCTTTGGGTTTTTGTTTGTGGTTTTTAAAAATCTTTGTTGTTTAAAGTAATTGTTGACTGTTCTCACATACATAGTTGATTTTTGAGGCATACAGTATTCATGGGTGAAAGTCATTCTTCTGCACCAATTTGTTATTTAATCATAAAGTGACTTCAGGAATTAGTTTTAATTCAAGGTTAAAGAATTTCTCTGAGTCATGTCTGAAGGAGAGTTCAGGCTTAGCCTGTCCAGTGGGTTTGCCTTTTTGGGGTTAGAGGATTGGAGAATTGTGGAGGATTTTTCATAGATGGTAAAGTTCCCTTTGTGTGCGCGTGAGCGTGTCCTGTAGCACCTACTACTTGCATATATTGTGCTGGAGGTGTCATCAGCAAAACCTGCAGATACCTCCCTCTCTTTGACAGGTCTGAACTCCATACTGTTTGCCATTAACATCGACAACAAGGACTTAAATGGGCAGAGTAAGTTTGTGCCCACCGTCTCGGACTTCTTAAAGGAATCCACGCAGAATATGACGCAGGGGGTGAGCAGCATCATCAGGGAGATCACGGCGTCCTCTGCTGTCTCCATCCTCCTCAGACCCTCCCAGGAGACTGACCCCCTGCCTGTCCTGTCCAAGAATGTCAGTGCCGGTGAGTAAGGCAGCCTGCAGGGAGAACGGAGTGAGCGCGGTGCAAGGATAGCTGACTCTGCTTTGGGGGACACACCTTGTCTTGTGAGCTGAGGACACTTACGAAAGTGTCCTCAAGGGTGAAACATCAGGCATGTGCACGTTCAGTTACGACTGTATTTCTTTCTTTTCACCCACCCCTGTGCATTCCAGAAGGAACCTGAGGGCCTGATCTAGACATGTGGTTTGTTGTTAAGTGCACGACTCATAGCAACCCCATGGACAAAAGACCTGAACCCTGCTATATAAATATCGTCGTTTCTCTATGTTCATAGAGTTTCCAGAGTCATGCAGTTTAGGAAGTGGATGCCTCCTGCTTCCAAACATGCAGTTGTTGTTACGTGCTGTGGAGACACCTGTGACGACCTTATATACAACAGCCTTAAACCCTGCTCTATCCCATGCCAATCTTACTGTCTCTGACACACCTATCTTTATTACCCCACTGACTGAATCAATCCACCTCATCGAGGGTCTTCCTCTCCTGTACTGTCCCTCCACACTTCCAAGCATGATGTCTCCAAGACTGATTCTGCCTTGCAACATTTCCAAAGTATGTCAGACCAAGCTTCAGAATCCTTGACTCCAAGGACCAGCCTGGCTTCACCCTCTCCAGGATGAACCTGGTTGTTCTCCTAGCAGCCCATGGTATATTGAACATTCTCCAGCACCACAGCTCAAAGGCATCAACTCTCCTTCTATCATTTCAAGTCATTCTCCAGCTCTCTGATTCATAGCAAGTGATTGCAAAGGCCATGGCCTATATCAGGCGCACTTTAGTCTCCAGACTGACATTGTTGCTCTTCAGTACTTTGGAGAGGTCTTTGACAGCAGACTTTACCAATTAAATTAATCTTTTAATTTATGGCTGCTGGTACCAAGAGTGTTGATTGTGGAGCCAAGCAAACTGATGCTGTTAACAATCTTAATCTCTTCATTGTTTATCATGATGCTGCCAGTCAGCTAACCCAGTGGTGAGAATCTTTATTTTCTTCTTGTTGAGTTTTAATCCATATTGAAGGGTGCAGTCCTTGACCTTCTGCAGCAAGCGCTTCAGGTCCTCCTCAATTTCAGCAAGCAAGGTTGTGTCATCTGTATAACACAGATTATTCATGTGTCTTCTCCAATCCTGATGCCACACTTCTCCTCATAGAGGCCAGCCTCCTGAATAATCTTTTCCGCATACAGATTGAAAAGATATGGAGAAAGGACACATTTTTGACACACACCCTTCCCAATTTTGAACCATGCAGTGTTTCCTTGCTCTGTTCTGACGACTGCCTCCTGGTCCAAATATAGGTTTCACGTTAGCACAATCAAGTGGTCTGGGATTCCCATTCTTCTCAGAGTCAACCACAGTTTGTTGTGATCCACACAGTCAAATGCTTTTGCATAGTCAATGAAGCAGAGATAGACATTCCTCTGGCACTCTCTGCTTTCAGCCCAGATCCATCTGATATTAGCTACAATATCCCTAGTGCCATGGCCTCTTCTAAATTTAAACATGCAGTAGTAAAAGCAAATAGCCAATGGAGTGCAGATTGACCCAGAGGTGCTTTGGGAGAAAGGCCTGGAGAGCTACTTCCTTCAGCTTCTGGAAACACTGCAGAGCCAGATCTGCTCTGACACACGTGGGGGTTAGCCAGCTCTGTGACAAACAGAACCACTGGGTTTATGGTTCGAATCAGAGCGAGTGGAAGAGGAGGACGTAAAATCATTTATTCCTTCAGTAGTACATTCATTCATCTATTGTGGGGTGTGTGTGTGTGTGTGTGCTTACTCTAGACACTAAATGAGTAAACTGGATTTCCAGGTTTTAATCTCTTTCGAGATAGGCAAACCATGTAAACAATTAATCATTCTTGTGCCATGAAGTTGGAACTGACTCCTTCCGGCAAGTTTTCAGGGTCAATAACTCTCACGTGAGGAGATTGGCCACGTAACATCTGGTGGATTTGAACTGTGTACCTTTGGCTTGCCAGCACAACTCCTTACCACAAGGCTAACTGGGAGAAAGGGTTGGTCACTTCTGGCAAGGAAACTGGTTCATTTAAAATTATGCTTGTGAGAAGCTTACTTTCTTAAGCCTTCTGGGGTACCCAGGATGTTGCTGTGGCAAGATTTGAAACTTCAGATTTAAGAATATAGTCAAGTATTGTATGACACCGTTATTGTAGAATACGTAATGAGGATCCAGGGGGAGCGGGTGTGTGGAAGCAGATGGATGAGGATGTGTGGGGATGGGGGAGATTAATCATGGGGCTGTACAATTTGATAGATGGAGGGTGAAGAGTATGGCCTGAAAAACAATGTATTCAAACTTTGTAAATAAACTAATGTAAATTAAAAAGAAAAAAATATATAGTCCTCATATCCCGGGCCCTTTGGAAAGAGCCATCATGGCTGTCCCGTTGGTGTATTAACAGTGGTGAACATTCCGATCCTGTGGTGACTCTGGTACACACTGGCTCTTTTGGTTCTGCTCTTGCCCCCCAGCAGAAATCCCGGAGGAGGGACACAGGAGATTTGACTGATGAAGGCTTTGAGTTTGTATTCTCAGAGGAACATGGTTCCCATCCATGGTTGGAACACTGCTCTTGACACGCTCTCAGAGCTGTTTGACCTGATTAAGCAGCTCCTTGTCAAAGTTTAGTCTCAGTGGACTGACGTTTTTAAAATAGGCTCCAAGTGCCTCATACCCAAGTGTGAAGACTGGATCTATGGTTTTGGTTAAAGCAGTGAGGACATAAGTCCAGCATGGATTGTAGAGAGAGGAGAAATTTACTGTCCTTTAAATGGGAAGAGTCACAAAGTCACATTGCAAGGACAGCCTACTTTGTAGGAATTTGCAGTGGTTAAATAACCGAGGGTAGTGATGGTTCAGTGGTATGATTCTCAGCTTCCGTGCAGGGGACCAAGTTCAGTTCCTGACCACTGGACCTGAAATGTAGCTCCTATCCATCTGTCAGTGGTGACTTGCATGCTGCTATGATGCACATGGGTATTGGTGCATCTTTCAGACAAGACCTACGGTTATTAGGTGCCATGGCATTTAACTACGACTCCTGGCAGCCCTATGAACAACAGGAGCTCATCGTGCCCTATCCTGCACCATCCTCCTGGTCTCTGTTATGCTCAGACCCACGGTGGTAGCTGCTGTGTTGATCCACCGAGCTGAAGGTCGTCATCTCTTTCTCTGACCCTCCCACCTTTCCCAGAATGATGTCTCTCTCCAAGGATTGAGAATATGCCCAAAGCATATGAGACAAAGCTTGTCCATTTCAGGCAGAAACAGATATTAGTCTGGTTCCATTGGGTTGCTGTGAGTTGGGGTCCGGCTTGAGGGCAATTAACAGCAACAATGAGCAAGGGAACGCAGCCTCCAAACTCGTTTTCTTGGGCTCATTTGCCAGCTACAAGTGAATTTGCCACAGTGGATTGATGAGAATAATTTCCCCGTTGGATGCCTCTTTTGAACCAAAATACTTAAAAGAATTTCTTAAACAAATGTCCTAGTGGCAAGAAGCTGCACTTCAATCCCAGAGGTACAAGGTTCGAATCCACCAGATGCTCTGCTGGAGAAGGGGGGCAATCTCCTATACCAGTCAGATCTGATTTGATGGCACACACACACACGAAATAATAAAATAAAATTTTTTTAAAACCCGCAAAACTAAATTTTATTGTTGTTATTGAAAATATATGCAGCAAAACTTACCACCACATTCTTCATTTTCTATTGTATAGAATAGTGACATTTTTACATTTTTCGAGTCGTGCTTTTAGCCTCCTTTTTTGAGTTCTTCCCCTGTTAACACACACACTCTCTCCCTCCTCCCTCCCTCCCCCCCCAAGCTTCCCATATAGTTCTTCAAGTTGTCCTTGTCATTTTCCCCACAGGTGGGAGTAGTTATTAGGCACTGTTGAATCGGATTCCACATAGGCCTTAAAAGAGCCTAATGCTCTTGGTAGATAGATACCTTTTCATTAGTTGGGCTAGACTATCACTTGATTTTAAAAAACCTTTAGGGACTATTTTTGGTTTTAAGTTTTATCTATCACCTCAGAGAAATAGTTTCAGGGGTTCATCCAGCCTCCAGAACTCTAGAAGGAGGCCTTGAGCATTTGAAAGTCTGCCCTGTGTTTTCTTCCTTTTGATCAGCATTCCTCTATTGACTCCTTTGTCAAAATGTCCAGTCATAGTAGCTGGGCACCACCCAGTTCTTTTTT